TGAATTCCATTACCCATTTTCAAGACTCTCCTCATCATTGTCATCATCATCATGCCATCATAGCATTACACAACAGAACAAATACATCATATATTTCTTTTTCCTTTCTTTTAGTGCTCTGGAAGATGCTGTTTCTGATGATGCAATTCAACTACTACTGATGCTTCTAATATTCTTGAAAAGGATTACAGGGAACAGATAGCCTTTGATCTATAGCAAGCTGGTGCTAGTATTTATGTAAAGCTTGAGAAGCAAAGATTAGTCTTTCATTATTAGTGGAATATGATGTATCATGCATGCAGATTTTTCATTTGTGTGATTCAGATGATAAAAATAATAACTCCATTGTTATCTGCTGCAGATAACTGATTTATAAAGCATCAACGAAAATAATATATCTATATATAAAATTTTATAGATCCTACACTAGTCAAGGGAAAAATTTCAAGGAAATTTAACGCAGCATATGATCTGGTTCCCTCTAGGCTCTTTAGTCCTTCCATTTGTAACTCATATTGTTGTTCTTCCTCTTTTTTTCTTTCTCCATTTCCTTGTTATTCTTCCTTCGACACCTTCATTCCCCATGTCTGCTTGTTTAAAAAAGATTCTTTTACCATTAAACATGACACCCTAAGCTCCCTCCATACCTCTCCTAGCCTCCTCCATTGTAGCATACCTTATAAATCCGAATATATTTTTCTTGTTAACTTTTCTCTTCCTGGAAATAGAAGTATCCTTTATCTCTCCAAACTTTTCGAAAAAGCTTACAAGATGATTTCATTCCATTGCCTGATCAACATTGTCATAAATACTGATACTAGACTTCATCTTCTTTCCTTGACAGATCAAAACTTCTTCTCCTCACATTATTTAGATCTAGTTAGCTTCCTATTTCTCCTTCCATGATGCATCTCCCACTCTGTTTTCTCTTCAGCTTCTCCTGTCCTTCACTTTTTTTCGCTTAGCTAACAATTGTATAGTACTTAGTTCATTAATGAACAGAACTGATAGACGTACTTAGGATTAAAGAACCCACATAAAAACAAGATTTAATTTAAGAATGATTTTTTTGGTGAAATGACGAGGATTGATGCGGTGTGTACTTATTGTTAATTTGGTCAAGTTCCATGGCGTAGTTGTTGGGGCAACTATAATTGTATATAATGGTTTTTTTTACAATGACTGCTAGCTTTATTATTAGAAAAAGACCAAGAGTCAGCTCATCTCATCTTGATTTCAATATTCCAGCCATTTTCAGAGAGCTTTGAGATACGTCTTTGCAGGTGGCTGATGAAAATGAGTCAAACACGTGAGCTCCACAATTCACACAACAGAGAAGACAGATCCCAGGGTGTTGATCCCGTTCATATGGAAGCATTGCAAAATGCAAGAAACACAATCTCGCTCGTATGCATTTTGATTGCCACAGTTTCTTATACTGCCGGAATGAATCCTCCCGGCGGTGTCTTTACCGATGGACCTCTTAAAGGTCAATCAACAGTGAGCAAAACCACAGCTTTCAAAATCTTTCAGATAAGTAACACTCTTGCTTTGTTCTTGTCCTTGTGCATCGTCACTCTTCTTCTAACCTTAATTCCTGGAAATTCTGAAAGTTTGAAGTGGCTCCTAAAGATTGTTCACAAGTTCATGTGGGGAGCTGTGTTAGCCATGGCTGCAGCTTACCTTGCTGCAACATGGCTCATCTTACCACGCGGTAATGAACAAAACTGGGTGTTTTATGTTCAACTAGCCATCGTACTTTTTGCCACTGTTGGAACTCTATTTGTTTTTTACACATATAATCCCATTAAACAATGTTGTAATTGCTTCACCCAAGAGCTCTCTCCTTCTCATTCCCTTGGAGAAACTAATAGACAGTTGAAATCTTCCCCTTCTCATTCCCATGGAGTAGTCAACCGACCCTTTAAAGCTTCTCCTTCTCGTCCTCTTGGAGAAACCAATAAACAGTTTAAATCTTCTCCTTCTCATTCTCCTAGAGGAGTCAACCGATCCTTTAAAGCTTCTCCTTCTCGTCCTCTTGAAGACACCAATCAACAGTTTAAATCTTCTCCTTCTCCTTCTCCTAGAGATGTCAACCGACCCTTTAAATCTTCATCTCCCTCTCATTCCCTTGGAGAAACCAATCGACCCTTTAAAACTTCCCCTTCTCGTTCACTTGGAGAAATCTCTCCATCCTTCAAATCTTCTCCTTCTCATTCTGCTCTAGAGACCAATCGCCGGTTAAAATCTTCTCCTTCTCATTCCCTTGGAGAAATCACGCCATCCTCTAAATCTTCTCCTTCTCATTCCTCCATAAAAATTAGACCACAACATTCTGAATCCCATCAGTCTCTTAATGGAAAAAGCTCACAAAACTCTGAAAATTTCAACCTTTTTACCATTTATAATAGTCAACAAGCATTTGGATCCCCTGAAACTGGATCAACCCCTCTGTCGCATGGCACCCAAACCGACGTCCAGATTCCACAACTCAGAAGATTAAAATCCCGTAGTCATTCGCGTTCAAAACCAACACACCACTACCCGAAAAACAAGTACAAAAAAAAGACATCGGTCGGAGATAGGATGTCGTATCAAAGTGAATCAGACACAGACGTATCGACCAATTCCAACAAAAATATCACGTTTGAAGAAGAAACTGAAAAGAGTTCTCTCCAAGGAGAAGAAACATACTACAATAGTGTCCCCTACGAGAATCTTAGACAAACTATGTCGTCCCCAGAAATGAGAAGGAGTCGCAGCAAAGAAAGGTCCGGACAAAGTACGAGGACATATCCAAAATCCACTTCCCCCTACTGGAAAGGTCTAACTAAAAGGAAAAATGTAAAACGTTACAGCTCCCCCGCCAAGAAGAACCAGTTTCGTCCTAAATTTAAATCATTATTCTGAAGAAAATCTTTCAAGTTTCAACTGGTTATTGCTTGATGTTCAAGTAAGTTCATCATATCTTGTAAATTAATGAAGTCGGCGGCGTGTTTGGTGTTCTTTAGCTTGATCTTTTGAATGTTTTAATTCCTCCTATACCTGTGATGTTCCTTGGATTATTTACAAGCTTCATTCAAGTTCTTCTTTCGCTTCGGCTTATATAGGTGAAAATCTATGGAGGGTCATCGTTGACTATTTTCTGAAATGATATTTTTTTAAAATTATATAAATACATAAATATTTATCAAATATTTTACTTATACTTAGTTTATAAGTAATTTTTGTGTACTCCAAAATTTTTTACAATGTCTCAAATTTAAATTAAGAAAAAAAAATGTTAAGCGAATTTATTTTAACTCGAGTTATATATCTCTCGTAATTACATAAAAAAGGTTAATAGTTACTGAATTAGCCCAGAAAATTTTCAAATAAAAACGAGATATAAAAACTAAAACAAAAATAAATATGAGATTTTTTTTGTTCATTTTTTAATTAAATTAATTTATTATTATTATATTTTTTTGTTAATGTCGTATTTAAATTTATTTTAATAAAAATAAAAAATATATATATAATAATGATAAAATTATAAAATAATAGTATAATAAATAATAAAATTAAATATAATATTAATAAATTAGCGATATAAAAAATAAAAAATTTAATGAATTAAATTAGCTCGCACCCATAGAATTATTATTTGTAAGGTTATTATCGTTATTATTATTATTATTTTTTTTTCGTTGTTATTATTATTATTATTTTATAATTTATTTTTTTATTTTGAGAAAAAAAAATAAAAAATAAGAAAAATGAAAAAGGAAAGAGATAAAAAAGAAAATAAAAAATGAGAAAAAAAAAGAGACGGTAAAGAAAAAGAAATGGAGAAGGCCGGCAACCCAGCCCAAACCCGGCCCATATTCCAAGCCCGGCCCATATTCCAAGCCCAGTCCAGCTTCCAAGCCCAGCTAACAAAACGACGCCGTCTTCTCAAGGTCTCTCAGCCGTAAGAGGGATGTGAAACGACATCGTCCATCAACTCGAGAGAAGATTCATTAAGCGAAAAAACCAGGGTTCTTGGTTTTCCGGAAACGAAGAGGAAACGAAGCAGAGTCGTGGCGGCTGAGGGGTGTGAATAAGAGGGTAAAGGGAAGAAGAAGAGGAAGGCAAGAAGAAAAGCGAAATGAGAGGAAATCGTAGCACGAAGGAGGATAGACAGAAAAAAGATCTGGCGAAAGACTGAGAAGGGTGTAAATTCGAAATTTAGGTATAAATTCCTAATTTCATTTGGGTATTTGTATTTGATTCTTGTGACTGTCAAACCATCAGAGTAGGAAATGGATGGATCTCCTTGCATGCCTAACAATTGTTGATATTTCCATTGTTATCGTGATCATCCGGTTCACTTGTAATCTACTTCTGCACAATCCATCCTTCTGTGTTGCTCAAGTGGTTTTAGGTTTAAATTAAATTAAGTTTTCCTGCTCGATAGAAAAAGATTGCGATTCATCCCCGCTGTCATGCTATGATCTATTTAGTCTTTGTTTTGGGTTTAAAATCGGAATCCTCTGTTTAGGGCGTGAAGATAGGGTTATTATGCACTGTTTAAGTTTATGAGGACTGCTTTCAAAAGTTAACTGTCTCACGAACGTTTATTGGCCTTGTTTCGAACAAATGGTGCTTAACGAGTCATTAAAGTGTTCTTTAATAGATGTAAATACCAAAAAAACCATTTGAATGTGATGCTGGAGGAACTTGAATGAGTTAATGTCAATACGGGTAAGTGGTCTGTGTGGTTCTCCTTTTTTCCTTCTCCGGAATCAAGACGGAGAAGTGAAGGGCAGCGAGCAGTCCTGCCCCAGAAAGTCAATTGTTCTTGGATACCTTTAGATTTGGTGTTTCTTTCACAACCCAATAGTTAGTTTTTAGGTTTGATTTATCTAACTTCTTGTTCAATTCAAAGTGTGTTTGGTTTTAACTATTAGAGTTATGGCATATCTCCTAACTGTCTAATGAAAAGAAAGATAAAAAAATGTGTTTATCGCTCTGCGGTAAATGAGTAGAATGAGTATGCCTTGAGCATAATTCATGAGAGGAAAATAAGCATGCTAGTTGCTGTGGTTGAATGGAATTAATAAAGGCTGTTTTAGGTTTTTATTACTTTGTCCTATTACTTGGTGGCTGTTCGGTATTACTAAAACCAGAAAAATCAGTGTTTTTTTGGAAAATGAAATAAAAACGGAATAGTAGGGACTGTTTTGAGCTGTTGATGGGTGAAAGGTTTGAAGACTTTAATATAATTAATCGGTGAAATCTTCCGTGGCAATACACCTCTCAATAAATTTTTAAGTGTTATTGTAGGGTTTGTTTTCCACCTTGAGTGTCTAATTTACTACAGATGTTTATTTTTACTTGATCTCATTTGTAGATTTTTTTAAAACTGGTTCAAAGCCTATACCCTTAGATGGGTGCCTCACCCTTTTCCATCAACTTTCATTTACTGGACTTAACTTTTTTTTTTTTGGTTATATCAGTGCAATTTTTGGTGTCTAACCTTATCCTAAGTAGATTAGTGGCGACTCTTTTGCATTTTTGAAATTTTTATCTTTGTGGAGTTTTTGCTTCGGATCACCTGTGTGATAATCATGTACTGATCTTGTTTTCACTTACAGGTTTGCTGACTTTGGGTCAGAGTTCATTGATTTTTCGATGGACTCTTAGTTTCAATTTCACTCTGTATTCCTTCTTGTTGAATTTGATTGATTCTTATTGGATGCATGCTGAATTTCTTGGACAGCTCAAGTTCCATGAAATTTGTAGAAAGCCTCCCAAATATCTTTTTTTGAGCTATCATAGGTTCACTTTCCTCTTCATGATTGGAGATTATTCTGCTTCCTTGAAACCTAACATGCCCCCCCTTCTCCTACTATTTGTCTGTAACTTTCATCAGTCAAGTCATTAACTTTCTTAAATTTCTGTGCATTTTAATGGGTACTCTGTTCAAATTTCTTCTTTGTGATAATAGTGCGAATTGCTTATAGTTTGGAAGTCTTTCATGTCTGACAACACGCTTTTGTCTTCAGTTAGTTCCAATGTTTCATGACTTAAATTCTTGTATTGTTTTTCATGATACTTGTGTAAATATCTTTTTCAGTAAATTATAGTTGGTTTGAATTCCAAAATTTTATGCAAATATGTGAACAATTTGCTTCATGCTTATATAAAGAAGAGTTGCAAGTTCCATTGGAATTGTATTGATTTGCAGTAGGCATCTTTTGCATCCATTGATTGATAGAATCTTTTACTTTTTTGAATGTAGTTTGTTTGAGTGCAATTCTGAAGGATAACTGGGGCTTTGACAACTCAATATAGTTGATCATGTCAACTCTCAAGGATCTTTTACCTCCAGCGAAGTCGACCACAACCACGTATTATGACCATTCAAATGACCCATGGTTTAAGCAGCGTTTCAGCTCATCTGAAATAGAGCAAGCCTCTGTGATCAAGCACAAACCTGTTCCTCCTTACTTGAAGCGTGCTGGTTTTGTTCCTCGAAAAGTTGAGGATTTTGGTGATGGTGGCGCTTTCCCTGAGATTCATGTTGCTCAATACCCTCTTGATATGGGCAGGGCTAAATCCGCCAAACCCGGGTCAAAGATTCTACCTGTGACAGTGGATGCCCATGGCAATGTTGCTTATGATGCTATTGTTAAGCAGAATGAGAATGTGAAGAAGATTGTTTATTCACAACATAAAGATCTCATCCCAAAGATACTGACAAGTGAAGTGGAGAGTGAAGATGATGAAGAGTTGCAGAAAGAGATTGAGGATACAATGCAGGAAACTAAGGCTGCACTTGAAAAAATTGTGAATGTGAGATTGAGTGCGGCGCAACCAAAAAATGTACCAAAACAGTCTTCTGACTCAAAGTATATTAAGTACAAGCCATCACAACAATCTGCAGCATTCAATTCAGGTGCGAAGGAAAGAATTATTAGAATGGTGGAGATGCCTGTGGATCCACTTGAACCCCCTAAGTTTAAGCACAAACGGGTCCCAAAAGCATCAGGATCGCCACCAGTGCCAGTCATGCACTCTCCTCCTCGTCCTGTGACAGTGAAGGATCAACAAGATTGGAAAATTCCGCCATGTATTTCAAATTGGAAGAATCCAAAGGGTTACACAATCCCACTTGACAAGCGTCTTGCTGCTGATGGAAGGGGCCTCCAAGAAGTCCAGATTAATGATAATTTTGCCAAGCTATCAGAAGCTCTATATGTTGCAGAGCAGAAGGCTAGAGAAGCTGTTGCAATGAGATCAAAAGTTCAGAAGGAAATGATGATGAAGGAAAAGGAGAGGAAGGAACAAGAACTTCGGGCATTAGCCCAAAAAGCTCGCTCTGAGAGAACAGGTGTGGCTCCTGCTGCTGCTGCAATTCCAATCTCATCTGAGAGGGGTGGGGTTGATGCTATTGATGCCAGGGGTGATAATGAGCGTGTGAGAGAGAAAGAGAAAGAAATGTCAAAGGAGACAAGAGAGGAAAGGGAAGAGCGATTGCAGAGGGAAAAAATTCGTGAGGAGCGGCGGCGGGAGAGGGAGAGAGAGAGAAGGTTGGAGGCCAAAGATGCTGCTATGGGCAAGAAGAGTAAGATCACTAGAGATAGAGACCGTGACATTAGTGAGAAGGTTGCCCTTGGCATGGCCTCTACTGGAGCTGGAAGAGTGGGTGAGGTTATGTATGACCAGAGGCTGTTTAACCAAGATAAAGGAATGGACTCTGGGTTTGCCACGGATGACCAATACAACATTTATGACAAAGGCCTATTTACCGCTCAGCCAACACTTTCGACCTTGTATAGGCCAAAGAAGGATGCTGATGACGATATGTACGGAGGGGCGGATGAACAGTTGGAGAAGATTATGAAGACAGATCGCTTCAAACCTGACAAAGGATTTGCTGGAGCTTCTGAGAGAGCAGGTCCCAGAGACAGGCCAGTTGAGTTTGAGAAGGAGGCAGAGGAAGCCGATCCATTTGGATTGGATCAATTTTTGACAGAGGTTAAGAAGGGTAAGAAAGCCATGGAAAAAGTAGGAGGCGGAGGTACAATGAGAGCCAGTGCTGGATCTTCCATGAGAGACGGCCACGAGGGAGGCTCCGGTAGAACACGCATTGGGTTTGAGAGAGGGCGATAAGTGCGCCCCTCATAAGGCTTTTATTAGCTTCTTTATGTTCGATCTTGAGATTAATGTCTTTCAGCTTGTTGACAACAATAGGGAGAATGTTGTATGCTATCTTTTGAAAATACATATTTTGTGAATTTTGGCATGTTTGATGGGGAAAAGAGTAGAAATTATCTTAATAATGCATGAAGTAGGCAAAGGAAATAGTGATTCAGAGCATCATAGGTTATACGATTTTTATAGTTTAAATTTCTATCATAAATTAAAATTTGAATCATATTCAATAATCTATTAAGACCATGCTTCTCCTATCTTTTTATAAATATATACGTTATATAGAGATATATTATTCAAAGAAAACGTAATGTTAAAAATAACTTCAAAATAAAATTATATATTTTTAAAATTTCAATGTTATATGTATTGTATTGTATTTTTATTTGTATTTTCATAAAATTATTAGAATTTAAGCTAGAGAACAACTCTAATGTTTGTTTTTTAGAAGAAAAAACAAATTTAAAATTCTAATGATATTTATTTATAAATTTTATTTATCACCTGTAGAATTAAATTTGTGAAGGAATTCCACTAAAAATTTTAAATTTAAGAAGAAGAAGAAGAACTTCAGACCTGGAACTGCGACAGGAGCAGATGTTCCCAGAGGTAGACGAGGCAGGGAATATAGATGTCATATCAACTAAGAGGCTGCTTCCACATTATTATTGACTTTATAAGAGAACAAAGGCAGAATGTCTCAAATTTACAGTGAAAGGTTTGATCTTTGTTAAAATCTATAGGAAGCAAAGCTCCATCCCTGAAAACAAAACTGAGATCACCCCGGTATCGAGTACTTGAGGAAATATTTTCGACAGTTACACGCCCATTTACTGAATGACAACTACATTCCACTGGAGCAGCTAAACCGCCTCCAATGTCTTTACAAAGACACGTTCTCAATTCCGGATATTCGAACTTTGTGCCACGACTTTCATCTGCAAGGTTTTCTTCATCTGTATCGCTCCTGCTTCCGGTAGCATAAACTTTTCTAAGCGCTGAAAACAGATCCATATGCATTGATGCTACTGCATCATGAATATCCTCTGCTATCCAATCACTCCCATTTAATCCCCATTCACAGATAAGCATCTTCTGCAATAAATCTTGGAGAGTGCAGAGGCATCTAGAGCAACAGCGGTATAAACATACAACAGGTTGGTCAGCAGCAGGACTGGTATCTTTCGAAGAGAAGTTGATGTTACCACTTTGTCCGCTAGGATCAGTCTTATCATCAACAGAAGGTAAACCATTAAGCTGCTTGCAGGCTTTCCTGGAGTAAAAGATCTTGCATCCTCCCCGTTCCTCTGAGCTACAGTTACCATTTTCAGAGAGAACAATTGTTTTGGTGACTCCATCAGAAATTTTCAGGGACTCAACGTCCCCATTTAGAGCTGCATGATTTCCATTAACTTCAAATTCACATGACGAATGCATTCCATTTTGCCCAACAACATTATTCATTAGCCGAGCAAAGGAACCATTAATATTTGAAGTAGATTGACCACAGAGGGGAATTCGCTCCACAGAACCTTCCGCTTGCCTAATTCTCCCCTCATAATTACTATCAGAATTAACACCCTCTTTCTTCAAATCAATGCATCCAATTTCTTGTGTAGTAACTTCGTTGGGATTTTCTAGTCCTGCTCTAGGACAACTGAAGTCAGAAATATTTGATTCACATTCCTCCCCTGGGAGTCGACTATCTATATTAGGATGAGTATCTGGAGATCCCACAGTGTTAGCCTTAGGGTTGGCCACTTCAAATTGAGCATCCACACCTAAACTGCAATCAGAGGAATTTATATTAGGTCACAATCTTCTCTTTTTCTTTGAGAAACTACATTAGCTCACAAACAATCTAGTACAAGGAATCCAGAAAAAAACAATAATTACTCTGAACAGTACCTTTGTAGTGCATATGCCCAGCTATTAACCATGTCTTCTAAAAAAGCAACTTGTGACAGAAGTCGGATATACTGATATCTGTCTTTTCCAGCATTGACTTTGGCATTAATCTGCCCAACTAAAAGCTCAAGAACCTGCCGCACCTCAAAGGAGACTTCTCTTGCTGATGTATATATGCCTCTGTAGGCTGATAAACCTACAGCAATCAGCCCTCTGACTAGACCAGTTTTTTCTTTGCTTTTAAGATTGCCGGAGCTGGAAATATTAACAGCTATCTGTTCTTGCGGGCTGCTTGGACGAATAATACAAGAATTGAATGGCCAGCCTCTCCAAGGTCCACTCACATCTGCACAAGGACCCTCCTTTAATTTAGATGTGACCCAACAAAGTTCCGCAAACTGAGGATATCGTAGAATCTGATAACCAAATGTAGATATTGCAAATAGCAAGCTTGATTTCCCCTTCAAAGTTTTGTTGAGTGATGGGGGGACCCTTATGGTAACGTCATCAGGAAGTTCTGACCTCTTCTCTGCTTCACCTACTACTAGACCAATCCCTGTTCTGGGACACTCTGCATCTGGACAGTCTCCAACTGAACTACAAGGTTTGTATTCCTTGCACAGATTTTCATGAATATGAGTTCTTTGATGAATCAAATGAACAAATGGTT